AATACTAGAAATGGCGCGCGCTTACGGTCTCCGTCCCCGATTATGGCTCCTGGTTTAGAATAGAATACCCTTACCAATTACCTTTACCGCGTGTGTTTGGTGTTTTGTGGCGGCCATTTTGAATTTTTAACGCGCGCGCGGTCTGCTAGTGCGAGGTCTGGAACCGAAAATACGGAAATCGCTCGGAGCCTGTTCGGAGCCTGCTCGGCGCTCTGAGAAAATGACTTTATTATCCTCAGTGAGCGATCGGCTCCTCCGAGAATTTGCGAATTTTCCCACCCGTCCCAGACTTCTTAAATTTCGGTTCCAGGCCTCGCAATAGCAGACCGCGCGCGTATTAAAAATTCAAAATGGCCGCCACAAAACACAAAACACGCGCGATAAGGTCTGTGCGATTAAGTAGGTTGATTTTTAATTCATATTCTAAACGGATGTGAGGGTTCCCTGTGCGACGGCAACGAGAACGTCACCAAATAAAAGGTTAATGAGCAAAACAATAGTTGTTCTTGTGCGTTATAAATTTCTGTATATTTCAATGCCGTCCTCTGCAAAACAACAATGTGAAATGACCAAGTTTTGTGTCGTATACGGAACGGGAACGACGACGGCTAATTTTTTGCATTCCCATTTTGTACCTTTGTCCATGTATACCTGAGTCTAACCTGCGATCATACCCTCCCTTTTTTATATTCGCCTTTTTCTCTTCTCCCTTCCCCCCCAACCCACCCCCCCAAAAAAGACGCCTGATCGCAAGTTAACCTGAGTCCGCAGTCCGCAGTCTGCAGTCCGCAGTCCGCAGTCCATATTTTATACTGACCGGAGTAGACCCAGATCTCGAAACAGTCGCATTTGAATCATGCCCTTGATTATCAATGACAAGATTGAGGATTCGACATTCCGTTCTTTCGCCGATTTTGCGGCTAAACATCCGCAGTTCAAGGTAATGTATACTTTTGTTTTGCTTGCAGGCGCCCGAATTATTAAACTTGAGCGTTCGCGCGAAAATCAGCGTACAATAAGCTTTGCAGCTTTAAAATTAGAGCATAAAGGAGGAATAAATACCTGGCTTCACACTAGAGCTTGTTATTATAATCTAAGCGCACTTTGAGCCTACTTTGAGAGTGAAGGGATAAATGTACTTACTTGGATTAGTGACCGTAGTGAATTAATGTATGACTGATTTTACTGCGGAAATGCTTCGAGTAATGCACCTATCTTTGTCAAGCCCGAGGAGGGGGACGGGTCGGGCATAGGGTGGGGATTTTGACATTTTCTAAAAAAATTTATCAAAATCCCCACCCCTGACCAAAAAAAAAAGTTGTCGAAAGTATCAAAATCTCTCACCCTGGGGCAAGGGAAGGCGGTCATATACCCTTCAGTCCTTGTTGCACACAAGAGGAAAGCAATAAATAACGTACCAAAGACTCATTGAACATTTATACAGAACATTAACAAATGGTTTACTTCTTTTCTGCTGTTTGTAACAAACTGCATTAAAACATTACTGAACAGTAACAAATAGTTTACTTCTTTTCTGCTATTTGTAATTGAAAGATCAATATTAAATCTATGGCTATGGGCATTAAAATCGAAAATTTTTGGCTTAGAAAGCAAAGAAACACATTTTCACTCACCTTCCGATCAGCCATTGCTCACAAACGTAGGAAATTCATCCAAATGCCTATCCAAGATGGCGGCTCATTTCCAGACTCTCCCCATTATTCAAGATGACGACCATGCCAAAATTCCCCACCCTGGGGACATGATGTCTGATCAAAATCCCTACCCTGGGGATATACGTTACTGTCAAATTCCCATGGGTTGCCCCAGCCCCCCCCCACCACTCGGGCTAGACATTGATAGGTGTGTAATGAAAGTTCCAATTTAATTGTGTGACAGTTTATCCTATTTTTAAGTTGCGTGATTCAGGAAATCTCGGAATAATAGAAATCGGAAGCATGTGTCTGACAGTCTCAATTAGTTCAGTCGATGATTACCAGGTAATTAGCACCAGATTGTAAACGCATTCCATCTTATCAACAAAACATGTAAGTTTGCATGTCAGGTAATATTCCGTGATCAAAGAAACTGTTTAGAAAAGTTTGTAAGCCAATCAAATTAGGTTTCACTAAGTTTTAAGGAGTGCCGTGTGTTGAGTCTTTTTAGTACAAGTACACAGTTAGAGCAAGAGAGGAAAGCGAACCTTGTGATCTTAAAATAAACTTGTGAAGTTTGCGAAGAACGGCCCGTTGAGTCTTGGCATTTGCACAAAGGTACATAATATACTCTGTCATCGTGTGTGAAGCCAAGTTTTTTGAAGTGTGACTTGAGATTTTCAAGTGCACTTGAGTCAAGTGCTTACTTGAAACTAACTTAGCTTCCACTGTGAAGCCAAGTATTATCTAGGTTACTTCATACTAGAATAAACATCTTCACTTCTTTTGTGCCCGGCATGCCCAATCGAGTAGTTTATGTTACACGTCATCCTGGGTAAATTTTGGGTTTAATCTTTATCAATTTTGTGAAAGAAATATCCCTAAAACAAAATTCTACATAGTGACCCCTAATTAACTTTTTGTGTCATGTTTCCTGGACTGGGGTGCTTGTCGGAAATTTTTCAAAGAACCCCTAAGAGGTACCAAGATCCTGTTTTGTGGGTGTGGCTTGAAGTTTTATTTACTCCTAAGAGGTACCAATTCTAAAACAACACATTATCTCCTGTCATATTTTTTTAGCTCAATACCCTAAAAGGTACTGCAAAAGCTCCGCTGTGGACCTTTTGAGGCTAAACACCTTAAGAGGTACCAAAACTGCTTTTTTAACCCCTAAAAGGTACGACGAGCACCCCCGTC